CACGCGACCCCGCCGCTCTGGGTTTCCGTTCCAGGGGCTGCCGTAAAGTCCTTTCCGTGCTGCTACCAGTCTGCGAGTCTGTGCCCCGTCCCCAGTGATGGAGGCTGTCACTTACCAGCAGTGTAGGATCCCCACAGTCAGGCTCCCTCCCGCTGCCATTTATCCTCCAATATCTGCCCGTGGAATCATGGCTCCCCGCTTGGTACCTCGAAACCAACCACCTGCGATATTCTGTTTGTAGAGATCCAGATCTTCTTACATCTCAGGCTGATTTCGTGAGTTCTCAGAGTGGTCTCAGCTCAAATATGGGGACCAGTTTAAATAGGGTCCCCCTACTCCTCCGCCATCTTTTCTTCCCTGTCGTGAATGATTTTTTAAATGTACTGTTGAATTCTCTTTGCTAGTATTTTGTGAAGGATTTTTATATCTATGTTAATCAGAGATACTGACCTGTAGTTCCCTTTTGTGATGGTTTCTTTATCTGGTTTTGGTATCAGGCTGGCCTCATGAATGAATTTGAGAAGAATAGGTTAAAGTATTGTTTTTAATAGATTTTATTTATTTGACAGAGAGAGCAGCAGGCAGAGGGAGAGGGAGAAACAGGCTCCCCGCTGAGTATGGAGCCCAACGCGGGTCTCAATTCCAGGACCCTGGGATCATGACCCAAGCCGAAGGCAGATGCTTAACCAACTGAGCCACCCAGCTGCCCCAAGGTTAACTATTCTTCAGATCTTTGGTAGAGGGGAACCTTGGTGGCTGAGTTGGTTAAATCTTGATCTCGGGGTCCTGGGATCAAACCCTGTCTTGGGCTCTCTGCTCAGTGGGGAGTTTGCTTTTCCTTCTCCCTCCGTGCTCTCTCTCTCAAATAATCTCTAAAAAAAAAAATCTTTGGTAGAATTCAACAGCGAAGCTATCTGGTCATGGACTTCTGTTTGTTGAAGTTTTTTGGTTACTAATTCAATCTCCTTACTGCTAACTGGTTTCTTCAAATTTTCTATTTCTTCCTGCTTCAGTTTTGGTAGGTTTTATGTTCCTAGGAAATTATCCATTTCTTCTAGGTTGTCTAATTTGTTGGCATATAGTTTTTCATAATACTCTTTAATAACTATTTCTGTGATGGTTGTTATTTCTCCTCTTTCATTTCTAATTTTGAGTTTGTTTTGCTTTTTGATGAGTCTGACTAGGGGTTTGTCAATTTTCTTGATGTTTTCGAAGAACCAGCTCATTTATTTCTGCTCTAACCTTTATTATTTCCTTCCCTTTGCTGGCTTTGGGTGGTGTTTTGTTCTTTTTCTAGCTCTGGTAAGGTTAGGTTGTTTGAGATTTTTCTTGCTTCTTCAGGTAGGCCTGTATTGCATATACTTTCCTCTTAGAACAGCTTTTGCTGCATGCCCAAAGGTTTTGGACCATTGTTTTCATATACTTTTTGATTTATTCTTTGATTTCTCAGTTACCCATTCATTGTTTAGTAGCATGTTATTTAACCTCATGTATCTGTGGTCTTTCCAGATTTTTTCTTATGGTTGATTTCTAGTTTCATAGTGTTATGGTCAGAAAAGATGCACGGGATTACTTCAGTCTTTGAATTTGTTGAGGCTTGTTTTGTGGCCTAATATATGATCTGTTCTGGAGGATGTTCCATGTGCACTTGAAAAGAATGTGTATTCTGTTTTAGAATGGAATGTTCTGAATATATGTTAAATCCATCTGTTCCCATTTGCCAGTCAAAGCCACTGTTTCCTTGTTGCTTTTGTTTGGATGATCTGTCCATTGATGTAAGTGGGGTGTTAAAGGCCCCTACTATTATTGTATTACTATCAAGTAGTTCCTTTATGTTTGTTCTTAACTCTTTTACATATTTGGGTGCTGCCATGTTGGGTACATAAGCATTTACAATTGTTATATCTTCTTGTTGGATTGTCTCCTTTACTATTACATAGTATCCTTCTTTGTAAGTACTGGTACCCACCTTTCTTTTGACATCCATTTGCATGATCTCCTTCCCCTCAAGACTTTCAATCTTCATGTGTCTTTAGGTCTGAAATGAGTCTCTGGTAGGCAGCTTACAGATTTTTTTTAATTACTCCGTCACACTATGTCTCTTGAGTGGAGCATTTAGTACATTTACATTGAAAGTAATTGATCTGTATTGCCATTTTGTTACCTGTTTTGTGGTTGTATTTGTAGTTTTTCCCTGATTCTTCTCTTTCTTTCATGGTTTGTTGGTTTTCTTTAGTGATAAGCAGGATTCTTCATGTTTTGCTTATCTATTACTGTTGACTTGTGTTTACCATTTGACTTATATATAACATCTTCTGCATACAGCAGTATTGTATGCTGGTCATTCAATATTGCATTCGTTCTTTACTCCCCTCCCCTCCATGTTTTAGGTATATGCCCTCCTAGTTTACATCCTTTTATTTTACTGATCCCTTGACTGACATTTACAGAAATACTTTTACTGCTTTTGTCTGTTTTTTACTTTTCACACCCTAACTTATCATCTTTCCTTTCCACTGAAGTGTTCCCTATTTCTTCTACAGCTGGCTTAGTGGTCACAGACTACTGTAGTTTTCCTCTGGAAAAACTCTCTCTCCTATTTAGATAGGAGAGATAAAAGATAAAACTTTATATCCAGCAAAGCCATCATTCAGAATAGGAGAGAGAAAGTATTTTTGGCTGCAGAAGTTTCCCTTTCAGCACTTTGAATATATCATGCCACTTCCTTCTGGCCTGCAAAAATCTAATAGCCTTATGGGCTTTCCCTGTGTATATGTCTTTTCTTTTGCAACCTTAAAAATCTTGACCAGTATTTCTCGACATTTTAATTACTGTGTGTCTTGGTGTGGACCTCCTTGGGTTGATTTTGTTGAGGGATCTCTGTGCCTCCTGAAACAATTTCTTTTTCCCTCCCCAGATTTAGGAAATTTTCAGCTATAATTTCTTTTCCCCCCTTTATCTTCTTCTGGGATCCCAGTAGATGCAAATGTTACTATGCTTGACAGAGTCACTGAGGTCCCTAAGTCTGTTCTCTGCAGTATTTGTCATCTGCTTAGCTTGACTGCTTTACATTACTCTATCCTCCAGGTCACTAATATATTCCTCTCCTTCCTGTAGCCTACTATTTATTCTATCCCTTGTATTTTTAGTTTCATTTATTGAGTTCTCAAGGGTCTTGCTGATGTCCTTCATTCTTAAGTCCAGTGAGTATCTTTATGATGATTACTTTAAATTCTCTATATCAGGCTAACTACTTCTGTTTTGTTTAGGTCTCCTGCTGTGTTTTTGTCATGGTCTTTCATTTGGGACATACTCCCCCTGCCACCTCATTTTGTGTGTGTGTGTGTGTGTGTTAGGAAACGCAGCTACATCTCCTCTTGAAAGTAGTGGTCCTATGAAGTCCTGTAGTGACCCTGCAGTGTTCCCTGTTCACCAGGACCTGGTGCTTTAGAGGTGTCTCCTGTGTGTGTTGCCTGCATCTTGCTATTGTGTTGGAGTAGCTTTTCCTTTCAGTCCAGACTCTGCACTGACTCTGCCTACTGCTATCTGTGGTGAGACCCAGATAGGCTGGCTCTGAAGGGGAGTGACCATAGGAGGGCTCAGGGGTAGGGTGGTGGTGGTAACAAAATTTGCACTGGGGAATCTGGCCTAGGACTAGTGACTCAGTGTGGTAATCGCCAGGGGCATGGTGTACGTTAGCAGCAGTGGCCTGGGGTAACTCAAGCAGCTGAGGTGGCCATCGAGGGACACATGGCAGCTGGGAGCCTATGGTGGCTGGGCATGGCATGGACAATGTCAGCAAAATTTGCACTGGGCCACTAGTCCTCGGCCGACCCCCCAAGGCAAGGTGGCAGCCAGGGATAAAGTGCACAGGAACAGCAGCGGCTTCAGGTGTGCAGCGACGGGGCAGGGCACGCAGGAGCTGCTAGTCCTCATCCAGTCCCCCAAAGAAATGCAGCGGCCACAGAGGCACAGCACATTCACGGAATTTTTGCTAAGCCCAGGCCTGAGGCCAGCCAGCTTGGCATGGGCAAGTCCTCAGGAGAATACAGGGGTGTGGTACACTGCTAGCAGGTTAGGTAGCCAGTGTCTGTGTGGCCCCGCGTCCCACAGGTGGCCCCCTGTGCTGGGAGGTTGGGGAGGAAAATGGCACCTGCCAGCTCCTTTGTTCCCAGAGAAGTCCCCCAACATGCTCCGAAATCCGTATAAACAGATATCCCTCCCGTTGTGCAAGTTGTCGCTTCTGTATTGCCTCTCCTTGGGCTGCTGTCACTTTAGGGGCAGGCTCTGGCTATCGCTTGCCTAGCACTGAGGTGGCTGACTTTCAAAGCTCCAAATCCCACTGGTTATACAAACTCACGGGATTCAGCCCCTCTGGTTTTCAAGGCCAGACATTATGGGGATTTGCTTGCTCTGTGGGGGCTCTGTGGTGCTTTCTCCTTTCCATGACCACAGTTCCATGCTTCCAACCACTGTTTCTGCCCTTCATAACCTCTCAAATGTGAGTCGTGGAGTTTGTTTTGCCAAGTCTTCAGATCACTCTCCAGTTTACAGACTTGGATATGAGTGATAATCTAGTTGTAAACATGGGACTGGTGAGCTTAGGGTCCTCTCATTCTACCATCTTGCACTGCCTCCCCATGAGTCACCTAGTTTCTCAGTGGAAGCATATATTTGTGGATAATGTTTGCATTAGCTTTGACTGGCTTGCAGAAAACTGTATTGGGGGGAAAATGTGTAACTCTAATGGCAGCAGTTTATAGGGTCAGGCTGCCTATGATGCTTTCTTGCTGGGCTGGTGGGCTGGTAGTTGGAGCTGGCTCATCAGGCGTGTCTTCTGTGTTGCAATAAGATATGCATTAATGTGTCAGCGAGGGATGGAAGGTAGGTACGTAAAGGATATCTTGGTTGCGGGAACAGCTGAGGAATGACTGTTGGGCAGGTGGAACCAACCATTCACAAGGTACCTGTGGTGATTCTGACCACCATTTTCTCTCCAGCAGAGCCAGGGACAGAATTCCGGCCATGTGGCCATTCCTGCCCAGTGACCTTTTCCAGTACCCAGTTCTTCGGACAGTATGTGCTGTGTGGTCACCTTCCTCAGATCTTCCCAAGCTCATACGCAGGAAGCCCCATCCCAATGGAAGCTCCAAACTGCTCAAGTGAACAAACAGACGGAGACACAGAGGGGAGACTCCAGCTGAGTGGGGTTTCCAGGGTGCTCTTCAGACCCTCTCAGGGCCGGCCAGTAGACTGGGTGGAAGGCAACAGAGCTGGGCATCCTGAGGAGGCAGGCCTCACGGCATCTGAGGCAGCCATGTATGGAAAATACAGACTGGGACTTGGTACCAAATCTAGCTTCTTGAGCCTCCAGAAGCATCATGTATGCCCTGAATGTGGCAGAAGCTTCTGTCAGAAGTCAGACCTCACCAAGCACCAGAGGACACACTCAGGGGAGAAGCCTTACAGCTGTAGGGAGTGTGGGCGAGGCTTTGGCCGCAAGTCCTCCCTCACCATCCACCAGAGGAAACACTCGGGGGAGAAGCCTTATGTGTGCCGGGAGTGTGGGCGCCACTTTAGGTACACGTCCTCACTTACCAACCACAAGAGGATACACTCTGGGGAGAGGCCCTTTGAATGTCAGGAATGTGGGCGAGGTTTTCGCCAAAAGATTGCCCTCATCCTGCATCAGAGGACACACTTGGAGGAGAAGCCCTTTGTGTGTCCTGAATGTGGGAGAGGCTTCTGCCAGAAGGCATCGCTCCTCCAACATCGCAGCTCACATTCGGGTGAAAGGCCCTTCTTGTGCCTCGAGTGTGGGCGTGGCTTCAGGCAGCAGGCACTACTCCTCAGTCATCAAGTCACGCACTCAGGGGAAAAGCCTTATGTCTGTGCTGAGTGTGGGCATGGCTTTCGCCAGAAGGTCACCCTTGTCAGACACCAGAGGACGCACACAGGAGAGAAGCCTTACCTGTGCCCAGAGTGTGGGCGTGGCTTTAGCCAGAAGGTCTCCCTCATGGGACACCAGAGGACACACACAGGGGAGAAGCCTTACCTGTGCCCGGAGTGTGGGCGTGGCTTTGGTCAAAAGGTCACCCTCATCAGACACCAGAGGACGCACACAGGGGAGAAGCCTTATCTGTGCCCGGAGTGTGGACGCACCTTTGGCTTCAAGTCACTCCTCACCAGACACCAGAGGACACACTTAGAGGAGGCTGCTGATGTGTATGGAGTATGTGAGCAAGGACTTGGCCAGAAGTCTCACTTCACCTCTGACCAGAGGTCACACTTGGTGGGGAAGCCATGTGTGTGCAGTGAATGTGGGCGAGGCTTCGGCTTCAGGTCAGCCCTTATCAGACACCAGCGCACCCACTCAGGAGAGAAGCCGTATGTGTGCAGGGAATGCGGCCGAGCCTTTAGCCAGAAGTCTCACCTTCACAGACACAGGAGGACCAAGTCTGGCCATCGCCTCCCACCTCAAGAGCTGCTCTCCTGACCTTTCCTTTCCTCTTGAGGCAGAAAGCACTAGGAGATGTTCTACTTTCCTCAAACGCAGTGGAGGAAAAAATGTGTTCTTTCAGTGATTGGAAGATAGTTGATTTATGGTTTATTTTATGTGCTAGCAATGTGTTTTAATTTGCTAGGGCTGCCATAACAAAACACCACAAACTTGATGGCCAAAGAACAATTTTCTCACAGTTCTTGGGACCAGAAATCCAAGATCAGTGTGTGCACTTTGGTTTCTACTGAAGCCTTTCTCCTCCACTGGCAGATGCCTACATCCTTACTGTGTCCTCACATGGCCTTTGTGCACATCTTCTAAGGACAACAGCCTTACTGGGTTAGGGCCCCACTCTTATCACTGAACAAGGTCACACTGTGGGTTCTGGCTTCAACATAGGAATTTGGAATAATTCAGTCCATAACAGCCTCCTGGACCCCCAAAATTCATGTTCTTAACAGCTCCCAAAGTGTTGACCCATTCCAGCATTGACTGTCCAAAATCTCATGTAAATCAAAATATGGGTGAGGCTAGGGGTATGTTTCACCCTGAGGCAAAGTTCCTCTCCATCTGTGAACCAGACAAGTTACCACAGATGTAGAATTTGCGTTCCCTTTCCACAAGGGGAAACAAGAAAAGATTGATGGGTCCCAAACATATCTGTGACCTAGCAAGCAAATTCTATTAGGTTTTAAAGGCTTGAGAATGTCTGGTAGGATGCTTTGCCCTCTGGTCCTGCTGGGGTGGCAGCAGCAGGCTGACAGCAGTATGCAACCCCTTGAGACCATGGAGGCATTCACCCTCCAGGCCCACCACGGGAATGTCAGACCAACTGATCTGTTTCACTGTCAGGGTCACTGTTTCCTCCTCTTGGTGAGTAGCATCACAGAAGTCTGACAGCCGGCCTTTGCTGTGTCCCGTCTGTACCATCCTTAGTACAGCCTTGTAGTTACCACTGAGCATCAACTCGTTCCAAACTAATCTCTTTATCAAATGACTGTCCAACACCACCACTGGTATTCTCTCCAGAACAGGCTTTCTCATTTTCACAATATGGATAGGCTAAGAATTCTCTAAATCTTCAAGTTCTGGCTCCTTTTTGCTAAACAGTTCCTTCAATTTACCTCCCTCCTCACATGTTTCTAGGAGGAGCAACAAGAAACAGGTATACCTTTCAACACCTTGCTTAGAAATCTCCTCAGCTAAGAATTCGTCACTTCTGTCGACTAAGATTTTGATCCTCCACTAAACAATGGAACACAACCCAGCCACATTCTTTGCTGCTTTATAATCAGGATTGACTTCCCTTTAGTTTCCAATAACGTTCCACATTTCTGAGGCCACAGCAGAATCACTTCTAATTCCTTTTCCTACCATAGTCTCCTTGAGGCAACCCTGGCTTTCTCCAGCAAGCACCTCTAAACTCGTCCACCCTCTACCCACCACCCAGTTCCAAAACCACTTCCATAGTTTTTCATATTTATAGTAACACACCACTCAGTACCAAAACTGTATTCTTTTACCAGGGCTGCCATAACAAAAGCAGAGACTGGAAGTCCAAGATCACCCTGACCTACTGAACTCTGCCTGCTGGCTGGCAGGTGGCACCTTCTCACATGGCCATTCCCCTACACATATGCCAGACAGCAAGTAAGCTCTGGTGTCCCTTACGCTTGTAGGATCAGGGCTCCACCCTTACAACATAATTTAACTTTCTATACTTCCTTAGGTCCTGGACCAAATACTGTCACATTAGGAAAGGGCTTCACCATGGACTTTTTTGGGGGAAAATTTAGTTCATAACACTGCCCTCTGGACCCCCCAGATTCCTACCTGGCTCTCAACTCCTGCCATAAAGGGTCCTGATCTCTTTCTCAGGAGTGCAAAGCCAGCAGGAAGCACTGGGCAGTGCTGCACTTTCCTGAAGTGGAATGCAGGAAGCATGCTGGTCCCCTCTTAGTGGCCAGGGGTGTGTGTGTTGGGGGGGGTGGTTGTTGGACACACCTGCTTTCTAAGCCCTCCTCCACACCCAGGTCTGTTTAATAAACTGCTTCCTTACAAAGCTGAACCTGATCATATACCTCATTCCTTCAGCTGTCAAGAACCCCATGGTCCTGAACCTCAGGAGACATGGAGGGTCACTGTCTATTTGTTCTGAACTGTGGCCCTGTGTGTGGGGAGGGCTTTCATCATCACCCTTTCTGAGGTCCTCCAACAATGCCAGTGGGGGCATCTTCCTGCACCCCCAGCCCTGCATCCTGTTAGCCACACCCATGTACCAGTAATCCAGCCGGAGGACTTGGGGCTTTTCTTCCATGACCCTCCCTAGTCCTCCAGTCAGAGGAGCTACAGCACCTGTCTTTATATGCAGTCCAAAGTACTGTCCCTTCAGCCTGCCTCTCGCTCTCAGATCCCCAGAGCCTGACAAGTGTCCAGCCCAGGATAGGCCTTGTCCTTTTGCCTTGGGCACAATAATGGTCCCCACCAAGTCCTTTTCCCCAGGCCCAGAGGTTTTTCCTGGCTTAAAATCCAGAGGCAATAAAAGATTAATACACAAAAAATTAAGAAAACCCAAAATTTTACATGTCAAAAAATATCAAAAGTAATACCAAAAGACAAATTTCATTCCTTCTGGAAGGAAAATCTAACAACATATTTCACAAATAAAGGGTTAATATCCCCATTTTATAAGAATTTTCAAAAATCAAAACACCAGAAATGCCACAGAAAGTGGGCAAGAGACATGATCAGGAGTAAGTATACAAATAAGTGCAGTCTGCTGCTTACTGGAGAATGCCAAGGGCCAACTGGTAACTACATTTTTTTTCTCCTAATATCTTATTATCATAGTGTTTTTATCAAAGCTATGAAATTAACTTTAGGACAGCACTATTAGGAACTATTCAGATTTTTCCATTATTGTCCTTTTTGTGATCTAGGATCCAGTCTAGGATCCCATATTGCATTTATTCTCATGTCTCTTTAGTCTCCTCCAATCTGACGGTTCCTCTGTCATCCATGACCTGGACACTTAAAAGAGAGCTGGTCAAATATTTTATAGAACCTCAGAGTTTGGGATTATCTGATATTTTCTCATGACTGGATTTGCATTATAGATTTCCTAGAATACCACAGAAGTGAAATATCCTTACTATATCATATCAAAGGGTACATGATACCAACAAGACTTATTCATGGTGATGTAACCTTGGTCACTTTGTAAAAGTGGTGGCCGCCAGGACTCTCCACTGTAAACTTACCATTTCTCTTTCCATACCCCATTCGTTGGAAGTAATCTAAGTCCAGTTCATACTCCAAGAGAAGGGAATTAAGCTCTCTCTCCTGGAGAACGCACCTTGTAATAGTGCTGCTTACATCCCCCACCCCACAGAACAGAGTGGCAGTGTTTTATGGCTCCCAAACTAGCAAAAGACAGCCCAGGTAGGTCCATTCCTCCCTGGATGGAACAGAAGTCCTGCTGACAACACCAGGTGAGCCCAGCACCAGGGAATGATTAAGGGAAATGCTTTCTTTTCTCACAGGGTTGAGATTCCCCTCCCCAACCTAGACCCAACATACCCAGGGAGGGTCGGTCCTGCCACAGAAACACCTGTTCCAGGAAGTACTCTTTATCTCTAGAGACCTGAGATTCCCCATCTAGATGCAAGACACATAGCTGGGTGGCACCAGCAAGGACATCCCTGCTAAACTGCCCAGCCCAAGAAGAGAGCCATTTCCCTTACTGGCAGACAAAAGGTTGTCAGGAGGCACTGGAAATGGGGATCCTGACACATTAACAGCTCAACCTGTGAAGCTTTTGCTTCCCTTTTGGGCCAGAGCATCCCTTCCCCTATCTACAGACACCAAGCAGCCTGTTTTTGGAGAACTCCTACACTCCCAACACCAGCAGGAAAAAGTGAAAGGAAAGTGGTATCAAATAAGCCAAGTAGACCTAAAAAGCATTGCAAGAGCTCTGAAAGCTATACTGTCACTGGATCAAAGAGAACCCACAAAAATAGGCTGCAATCTGGGAGCTAACCTAAAAACAGGGTGACTGCATGCTAAAATCAAAGGTTTAAATATGACCCAGAGTCTCTTAACAGCTCAATGTGCAGAATGCAATAGAAAGTTACTCATCACACCAAAAACCAGGAAATCACAACTTAAATGAGAAAAGACAATCAACTCACACCAACACTGAGATAAGTTTGATGCTAGAACTATTTGACAGGGATATTAAAGCAGCCATCATAAAAATGCTTCGAGCAATCACAAGTTCTCTTGAAACAAATGAAAAAAGTACAAGATCTCAAGAACAAAAAACAAAAACAATAAAAACAACAACAAAAAACAAGTTACACCAAAGTTCAACTGGAAATTACAGAACTAAAAAATAGAGAAATTTAAAAGCTCATTGGATGGGCTTAATGGTGAGTTGATATGACAGAAAATGTAATTGTAGAATTGGAAGACAGATTAAAAGAATTTAGCAAATCTGAACAATGGAGAAGACTGAAAAAAAAAATCTTTGCGACAAGACGAAAAAAGCTAACATTTGTGTCGAGTCCCAGAAAATGAGAAAGGAAGTAGGACTGAGAAAATACTTGAAGAAATATTTTGAAGAAATGACCAGAAACATCCCATTATTTGGCAAGAAACATAAATATGCAGATTCAAGAAGCCAGGTGAACACATAAATCCAAAAACATCCATACTAAGACATAATTAAAATTCTGAAATCTAAAAACAAAACAAAAAAACCTTGAAAGCAACCCCAGAGAAATGTCTCATTACCCATAGGGGGACACCAATTCAAATGACAGATTTCTCATGAAATTATGGCGGTCACAAGGACATAGCACAGCATTTTTCTTCCAAGTGCTGAAAGAAGACTGTTAACTGCAGACTGAATATCTGCCAAAACCATCCTTCAAAAATGAAGGCAATTTAACACATTCCCAGATGAAAGAAGACTGTAAGAATTTGTTGTTAGCAGACCTGACCTTAAAAAATGGCTAAAAGGAAGTTCTTCAAACAGAAAAAATAATAAATACTGGAGCATCAGCAAGAAAAAAACACCATGAAAATAGCACAAATATGACTACATAAAACAGGCCCTCCTTCTACCACATTTTTAAAATTACACGTGATGATTGAAGCAAAAGTTATAATATCACCTCATACTCAAGACAACGATGTTTAAAAGTGGGAAAAGGGCCCTAAACAAAAATAACATTTTCACACTTCACTCCAAATGGTAATATACTGATAGACTGTGATAAGGACTTATGTGTATTGTAATACCCAGAGCAACCACTAAGAAAACTATACAAAGAGATACACTAAAATACATGAAGAATGAATCCAAATGGAATCTTATCAAATAACCCACAGAAAAGAGAAACAGAAAAATGAGACCTAGAGGA